CTTTTAATAAATTTGTTTGTAATGCACCAATTTCATTTTGCCTCCTCCCAAGGAAGCAGATTTCAATTTGATGGGCTGGAAGACACAAGAGATTATTTATGGCTGTATGTCTGGGTCTGTAGGCAGCTGCAGAGCCATAAATTTGGAAGACAGCACAGTAACTGATCTTCAGTTAATTTCCTGGAAAGTCTGAAAACTTTGTTATGGGTGATTGCTGACAAAGATATAATAACAATAAAATGACCCAAGATGGCCAAACCCAATTTAATAGTTTCCATAAAGATCATTTTTATCAGAGCTCTGTAGGACTTCATTCTCTGATCCGATACCACTCCCTACATATAACCAGTGAGAATTCACTTTCATTCCCTGAGATTTGTTTGGCCTGGACTCCTGTAGCTGTGTTTAGCTCTCAGATATGTCTTTAATAAGAAATACCTTCATATCCAAGGGCTGAATTTCACCCAGAGAGGTTGTTCAATGAGGTTTCATTTTGAGAGATGATCAAAGGCCACGGCCTTATCACTCAGTTCTGCTCCAGCTCCCCACAGATGGTGGGTATACACTTGAAATAAAGTTCTGACTTACCATTACTGTCATAAAATGAGTTGTAGAGCCACCCTTTCTTCATTTGTCTCAATTAAAAATATATCTTCTGGCTCATGGGAAAAAAAAAAAAAAAAGTAAACTCCTATCCATAGGTGATTAATGAACCTGCAGATTTAGTCAATAGCCTTCCAGGGGCCTCTCTACCCAAAGTCCTTCATTTGCTGCCCTTTGTATAAACAAACTTTGTGATTTCTACATTAAGCCTAAGATATAGAAAGAGAATTTAGGTATTTTCTAAAGGAACAGCTTTCTGCAGGGTATATGGAAAAATATTTTATGGGTATTTCCCATAATGGATTAAAGAGTTTTGAAAGAAAAAACTAAAAAAATAGTATTTCAATTTCTCATTTCTTATAAAATACTTCTTGTTCTGTTTGACTTCAAAAAATCAAAATGCAAGCAAGGCAATGTTAATTCCAGCTGTTTCCTCTTCCTGTTCATGGGTAACTTTCATAATAATAAGTGAAACATTATCATTTGTTTCTTGCCCTTCCCCAATTAGTCTTTTCTTTATTAGACCCAGCTCTAGCCTCATGATATCCTTATTGTTTCCTAAAAATACATCTCACCCAATTCACAGTGGGGGAAACTTCAAGCTTTTAAAGCTAAAACCAAAAGACAACTCAAAAAACAGGAACAAGAAGGAAAAAAGCTTGCTATTCTGTTTCTTCTGCTTGTTTGGGTTTGTTGTGGGGTGTTTTGTTTGTTTTTAAAGGCCACCCCTATCATTCCTGGGACGAAGCAGAGGACAGTGCTTGTTTTATGGTTGGGGATTGTTGTACAGCACTGGGTGGCTTCATCCCATCTTACATCACTTGAGTGCTCCACAGCTTGAGCACAGCTCAAGCAGCCCTAGAGCCGTGGGTGTGCATTACAGATCTGTATCTCTGCCTGCACACGTCTCCAAGTGTCTCTCACCTGTGTGCAAAGCAGAAACAGATTTTCAAAACCTCAGCAGGCAGTGTGAGGGATGGGTTTCCAGAGGAGGTCCACTCCATTTGGAGAAACTCCATAACCAATTTTTTTTTTTTTTTAGCACTCAGCAGCACTTTCTGGGATGTCTCTGGCCAGGCTTTCAAAGCTCAAAAGAATCAGCTGGCCTAGAAGCTCCACTGCTAATTTCAGTGGCTAAAGGAGAGCTGACCTCAATCACGAGAGCGAGCTCTTCGGGAAAGCCTGGCCACAAAGCTTTCATCTCAACTGACTGCTCCTCAAGCAAGCAGTAAATGTCTTCTGACATTGTCCTCCTACGTCTGTGCCCCAACACATGCGCTCTGCTTATTTATAGAATGTGTGAGCTTCACACACATCAGGCTGAGTCCCCCGGGACCAAAGTCGCGCTTGGTTTTGCGCGGCGTGGCCAATGGTTCTCCTGGGCTCTGAGAGCAAAGGCTGGTCCTGCCCTCCTGCCACGCAGGAGAGGCCAGCAGCTCCCAGTTAACCCGGATTCAGGAATATTTCTGGAAACACTGACAACCAACAAGAGCAGGAGGGAAGGAGCTGATGAGCTCCAGGCTCACCATGCAGGAAGGGGAGCAGAAAGAAAATCCCGCTGTGCCTGCTGCAGAAACCGTCCTCCAGCCACTCGCAAGGGCTGCGTAATTTGGAAAGGTCTGCAATGCACTCCTGCCTTGCTGGAGGGCTGGGAGATGCCAGGGCAGAATAGCAGAGCCTCTCTCCAAAATACAGGATATTTAGTGTTGGAAACACAGCCTTAAGTTCTAGGTCAAATAAAATTCCACCTGTGCTCAAATAGTAAAAATGCAATGAACATGAAATGAAAACCATGCCCACACCACAAAACAATTTTGTCCAGTTGGTTTAGTGGAAGTAACCAATAATTCACCAGAAATTTGAGTTTACTATTTACCCATAAACCTATATTTACTGCATTTATTATAAACCTTAGTTTACTATTAAAGATTAAAAAAAAAGTTTATTCTTTTAGAGCTACTTGTAGTTTCTTTTTGTATTCTATGTGCAGTAACATAAATTAACATAGACAAACCAAGTGTGACAATGCACCAGCCTCCATACAAGAATGGACACAGTACTTTTTACAGGTGCAAAGAATTGAACTGAGGTGTTCAACTACAGAGAAAAAGAAGCCATCATCATGCAAGTATCCCTCTTCATCAGATGTAGGCAGGCAAAAAGATTCCCTGCATCTAAGGCCACAGTGCATTCTGGTGGGCACCGAGCTCTCAGGCAGCTCAATCATCACATAAATAAGCCCTAATTGGCATTCCCAAATGTTTTGAAATTGTATTGCCTGCTGCTGGCACTCCAAAAGTTATGCCTCTGGAGATAGCAGGGGAAAAAAACCCAAAACATCAAAGATCATTTGCAATTAGACGCAACAACCCCGTGCCCAACTGGTGTGTGTCAGGGGTAAAAATAGCATCAGCCCAAATGGTAAGTGCCTTTTGGTTTGTCAGGGACTGAACGTGCAGCACCAAGTGAGAGGTTATTACAGGCTGTGATCAGCAAAGCAGACAATCATTTGCCTTGTTACCGTGCTGCCTGCCCATGTGAACTGCATCAAACAGGCATTAAAGGACACCCCGCTCGCCCCCGAGGGGAACACGGCTGGTGGGTAGCTGGAAACCTCCTCGTTAACAAGCTAACCTTGGAGTCTGGTGAGGAGGCAAGGAAGCGTTTACCAGCCCCTCTATCGATAATTATGGAAAGGAAAATCGTAGCTCGTTGTCGGTCCCAGGGTGGGGAGATAAACAAGGCAGGCCTGGGGCGAGCAGCCCTTCCATGGCAGCTTCCATAGCTAACAGCTGCCAAAAAGGCAATTATCCGTGGAGCTGCTCCCCCCCTGGGGCTGTTCAATCCATGTATGTTTGGAAACTACCCCAAAGCCCTTCTGTGGGTAAGAGGAGTCTCTGTGGCACACAGCCCCTCAGGGACCCTGAAATCCCCTGGTAAACAGCAACCTGAAAGGCCCCACGCACGGGTGGGCAGTGGTGCTGCATAGCAGGGCTGAAGTATCAAACACCAGTGGTTTTGTTCCCTGGAGCTGTCATGTTTCCCCAAGGCCCTTCCAACATGTAGGGATGGGGATCTATTTTTAAGTGGAAGGTAGTAACACAGTCCCCTGTTTTTCATATTTCTCTCTCCTGTGTCACCCAGGAGGACTTCAGCAGCTAATTATGCCTCAGCATGCAGCCACCCGCCTTTGTTACAGGCCTAAATCCTGTTCCCATTTGTAGCCCAACTCCTTTATGTCCCCAGCCTCATTGCAAGGAAGGAGGGAGGGCCCACCTGAGCCTGCCCCAGACTCCCTGGGGGCTGCTACCCTACTCCAGCTCAGCCTTTGCATCAAACCACCAGTTATCTTTTCAATTAATTGTGGGTATCATAGTGGTTGACAGCACAACCTTACTACCAAGGGATAATTTAATATGACTAGACCGTAATCAAAGTGTTAATAGCCTCAAAATTTAATCTGTGCAGAAGTAGGATTTATAAAAGGGAAAGGATAACCAGGGCCCAGATGAATAATGTTAGTTGTAACGTTACAGCTAGTTGTAATAGAATAATTAGTTGTGATATCCAGAAATAAAAATTACGCTGCTTTGAGTTCCAGGACGTGTGCCAAAAAGGAGCAGTTAGTCACAGCGATGAGGAACAGTTACACAGTCCATTATCTCATGAACTGCAAGGTCCAGAAATGAATCCTGCACGTCACAGGAAAATTGAGACTCTGCATTTTCAGCAATACACAGCTTTTCATTTTAGCCCTTAAATTAGATCCTTCCTCACTATTGGAATGATGTGCCTTTCCATTTGCAGAAAGGTATCCTCAGAAGCCCTCCTGGCTGAGCTTCACTTTCCCTTTGGGCATGGTCCCAACTTCTCCATCCTGTGGCAGATGAAGCTCACCCCTGGCATCCCCACCTGCTCCCTTCCTCTGTCCTCACCAGTCTTGTGGAGAAAAAAAAAAAAAATAAAACCTCAAACTACATTAAATCCCAGCCTTTTTCTGTTTTTTTCCTGGGTGATGATCACCTTGGGTGATGGCTTGGATGCCTCCATCAACAGGTGCTGCATCCTCGTGGGGTTAGGCAGCCCCTGCTGCTCCCTGGCTCAGTGTTCAGGGCCAAATGCTTTAATCATAGAATGACAGAATTTATTAGATTGGAAGGGAGCTTAAAGCTCATCTTGTTCCAACCTCCCTGCCAGGGGCCAGGACACCTTCCACCAGTCCAGGTTGCTCAGAGCCCCAGCCAATCTAATCCCCTCTAATCTAGCAAGACACTTCTAAACCCCAAGTGCACAAGGCAGCAATAAAGCTGGTGTTCAGCATCATAGTGAGAAAGCAAGAAACTGTGCAAAAGCAAAAAGTGATGTGAACAAATTATCTTTTAAATTATGAAGTCAGCCAGTTTTTACCATCTCATTGTTACTCATTCACTTGCATGACAGACACAGAAACAATTGCTTGACCTGGTAGGAATTTTAAAAACAATTACTTTAAATGACTTCCATATCATAAAAGTTACTTTAAAGCCATTTTCTGCTTTTTAGGTAGCGATGAAAAAATTAAATGCTTTTTCAGGTTGTGCTTATCCATTTCTCCTTCATTTCCTCCAGCATACTTTCTTTTCTTCCTCTTCCTGCAGTGACAAGAAGAGAAAAAAAAAGTGGGTTTGTGAAGGAGGAAAACTGGTAAAGAAAAGACAACTCTCTCTAGGGAAAACAGACAGGGAAAAGAGAATAGAAGGTGTGATTTTATTTTTTAAAGAGAAATCACCTGGGATTGAAACAACTGAAACTTTTGTCTCCATCTCACAGACACACATCCCCTCACCCCCTTTTTCTTCCTGGTCCTGGCTGACTTGCACCTTCTGGCAGGCACGTAGGTGCTTGTTTTGCTGCTGCTCCACAGGATGGAGTCACCAGAAATGATGCTCCCAGGAGATGTTTTGCACAGGGTAACAGGAGAAGCAAAGCTGTGCTCTGCTGGCCCTTTCCTCACACACACACACAGAGCCGTGTGCTGCAGTCCTGCTCCATCCTGCCTGTGCTGTGTATGGGGAAAGACAGCACTCAACACATCTGGGGAAGTGCTTCCCCACATGGGCACCAGAGCCCTGGCTCAGGGGCAGTTCAACACTGCAGGCTGCAGTGCTCACACACCTATCTTTTGTGGCTGGCACAAAACAAATGCTGCACTGAGCCAACAAATCTTACAATGGCCTCATTTTTCTAGCAATGATGCCTCAGGCAAGGCCTCTGTGGCCCAGAAAGGAAAAAGGTTTAACTTTTTCTGGAATTCCCTGAACTTGCTTTCTTCTACGTCTCCCTAACCATCTGCCAGACTCAGACACCTGTTATAATATATCAGTTTGTCTTGTGGTGGTTCCTGGAGTCTATCAGCAACCTGAGCAATTAGTATTGTCAGCAAATCATTCATTAACTGAACTATTCAGTTTCAGCTAACTTAAGACTAATTGTGCATTTAATTCCTATCTAGCAAGATCAAATCAATCAAAAAAAAGGACCATGGGTAAATATCAAAGATCAATAGGTAACAAATGAAAACCTTAATTATGGTCTTATCTGAATGCTAACAAAAAAAAAACCAAGTAAAGCAGAGGAGATTATTTCATATCAGGTCATTGTGATTATCCTCCTGCTGTCTCCCCAGTTCAACTCTGGCATTACTCAAATACTTGATGTAAAGGCTGGAGTACATTTTTGGCACCATGAGAAAGCCTCTCTCCCTGCCCACCTGGCAGAGACCCCATGCAGGCAGTTCAATGCCACTTCCAGGGTAAAGAGTGACCTCACAAAAATGGCATTTTCCTGCACACTTTGAATTGGGAGCTGCAGCTACTGACCTTACTGGCAAGGAAACAATTTTACTGCTGGGTGCTGCTGTTTGTGCAGAAGCATCGAGCTATTAAAGAGGGAGCAGGAGATTGCTCCCTCCTGTGTGTCATCAGCAGAGGTAAATAACATCTCTGCATCTCTGCTGTGCAAGCCAGAGAGTAATTAGGGGGATCTGCACAGGCTTTTGTGTTGATGAGCTGATTATCTGTTCCTGCCTTGGAAGGTTCAGCCCCGTCTTGTCCCCGATCCCTGCGATGGCTTTGGCACAGTCAGGCCAACAAGAATGTGAGAGAAGGAAAGCAAAAGCACTGCAGCTGGCTTTAAACTGTGCTCAGGTACACAGCCTGCAACAAAATCAAAGCCAAACAGATACATCAATAAGTTAAACTCTACTGAGGCCAAGGAAGGAAAAGAAATTAAACCCAAACCAATAAATCAGCCTTACCAGGTCAATACACGTGATCTTGGTGAGATCCACGGGGCAGGTGTTGTTGGTAGGGAAGAGCACGGGCTCAGCCTGGAGAAGGTGGCAAACACCACCAACTTCAGAATAATGCCAAGGAACCTGAAACAGCAGAACTACCTCCCCAGCACATGGCAGCCAGGCACTGCTGCCCTGCTCACAGGCACCGAGATAACACACCTGGGAGAAAGAGGAGACCTTGGTGGGGAGCACAGACAGGAATAGGATGGACATTGGAAATTCCTGTTAACTTTCTTACCCTCCTGCTCCTTTGCCCTGCACCCTATTTATGCCATCACCTGCCAGTCACTTCCCTCTGGCTTTTCCTCCCACCTGAGGGCTCCTTTCCCCATCTGAATTTTATTTTCTGCATTATCTCCTTCCTACATTAGTCACCACAGAAGTGCCTTGGTGCACTGCTGAGTCTGCACAGAGGAGGTGGCAACCCTAAAGGTAAGTATCTCTGAACTGAAAAAGCATCTTTACATCCAAATACAGAGCTGGACCCCTCACAACACACATGCATTGATGGGATCTGCTGCCCTGTGCTCTTCAATCAGTGTAAATAAATATCAGCTTGGTTAAAGCCACTGTCCTTCTCCAAAAAATAAACAAAGCAACCCACCCAAGACAATTTACTGTAATGGCTTCTGGTTTAGTACAAAGCTCTAAGCCAGCAGCTTTTTTTTTGGAAAAAATAAAAATAAGTGACCTGCCTGCAAGCATGGTACGATGAGAGCTTGCACCATGCTGGAGTGTGCATTCTTGAAATGCCCTCTCCTGCTGATGCCATTTTTCTCCCAGAGCCAGGGAGGACACACAGAAATCTCTCTGATCAGAGCTGGTTGTGAGGCCAGAAGTGGGTGGCATCTGCACAGGAGGTTGCAGAGCCTTCATCACCAAGCAGGGTGTACAAGTACCGTACACTGAGACTGTCACACAGCAGGTTTGGCTCCAGGCACCCACCTGTTCCTCTGTTCCTGCTGCAGGTGCAGTGGCAATTGTTACAAAACTGCCTTTTACACTGGGCTGTGCAGGGTGTGGGAGCCTCTGGATTGGGCAGTGTCAGATGGGTTACATGATGTCCCACCTGTGTCCCGAGCCCAGCCTTTGCTTTTGGGATTAGTGATGAGACAATGAAATTTATTTAACGCACATGCATGAGATATCCCAGCTCTTTGAGCATCCCCTGCACTTTCCCCCTCTAGATCCTGATGCTTCTCACTGAGCCAGCCTGCAGGCAGTCCTGTGCAGGTCTCCCTGTTTTCATGCTGCACTGGGCTGGAAGCTGCCAGCCGAGCAAAGGGAGGAGGGCAGAGGCATCAGCACCTCCTGCACATCTGTCCCACTGCCCAGCTCTCAGCCGCAGGTGAGGCTGAAGCCAAAAGACCTAATGAAGCAGAGAAGAACAGCTACACTCCTGACATAAAAGGCATGCCAAGCTTTCATCTTCTGAGAGGTTAAAAATAAACAGTTTAGCTTTCAGCAAAGTGGTCTGATTAGAGGCAAAGAAAACTACATTGATTTCCATGGAAATGGAATATTTTGTTGCTGCTACTTGATCTTGTTGAAACGTATTAAGAACACAAAAGAGTGCAATTTCAATATCTGCAGAGTGGTAGTATACTTAAAAAATTTAAATTAAATTGATTTCTTTTAAAAGAAAGCTGGCTGGTTTTAGTTTCTTAATTAGTTCATTACCACTGCAAATGGAGCATGTTCTTATAAGCTTATAGAAAGATATTACAAAAACAGCTGCAACCCACAACAGAAGAGATATAGACATAGGCAATATCTGTACATAAAAATCAAAGACTTAAAGATCCTCTTAGGTCCTCTATCTCCTCTCTAAAACCAGCAAAGAATTGTTCTTTCACTCGTAAGTCTTTCTAAATTTAAACCCATTACAAAACAGATCCTAGTTTCCACGGAAGAAGGATCAATCCCTAAATTTTGTTTGCTTTTTTTAGTGTGTAGGAGTGCTTCCTAAGAATGAGACCTGCCTACACATGCTCTGGAAGCAAAACACCACAATTAGCTTGAGTTCTTATCTCATTACTGCGGTAGGTATCTCCATAGGGAGGTTTCCTCGGAGTGAGCTGCGTCCTAGTTCAGTTTAACCCAGATAGTAACAAAATAATCATTCAAAATGGGCCAGCTCTGCCATGACCTTCTCTGTGATAAATGCTAAATACAGGTGTGAGGGAAAGGCTGCTTCACTGACACAGTTGTTCTCTCTGTAGGTGTGCCCCAGGGTAAGACCACCTCCAACATCTCCACAGCACGGCCAAACTGAAATTTTCTGTCAAACCAATGTTAAAAATATCCAAAATCTTTGATCTTAGCTAAAATAACAAATTGTGATGGTAACAAGAAAAAAAATAATTCATTTTTCTTCTTCCATTTCCTCAATGTGAAATTTCAACAGAAACAATAAACCCTTTAGGTTTTTATTTTGACAGTGGGACATTTTTATGACATAAATATCATATTATTGTAACTTTAGGTGACAGAGCAACTTGAGCTTCTAACCAGAAGGCTGCTGTACTTTTATCTGTGTATTATATTTTCCCACATGCTTGCAACTGGCATGTGCTCTCCTTCCAGTAGTGATGACCCAGGAAAGAAAGCAGAGCCAGGAAAGATGTGCCCACAAACCACCAGAGCCCTGATTGAGGACAGATTTCCACTGCTGACAAGTCACATTAGATATTGGTCAGTACAAATATCAGTGATCCTGTTGCTCAAGGGTACCTTGCCTTGCCTTTCCTTTTCTTTTTTCTTTTCCTTATGAAATCAGTCCCTTGCATTGGGCTGAAGACTGTTTGGCTAAGGCTTCCTACACATTTAATATGAAAGATTATCCGTGGATACATCTAGGAGTGGACCCACAAGAGAGGCAGCTGCTGAAATACCCAATTTCCAGTGCCTGCTGATTTTCATAGCCCTGGTGGAGGTGTTGGAGCTCTTTATTGGATGTACAGGGAAAACCACAGAAGGCAGCAGCAATGGCAGCTACTGAGTAAGGAACACTGATGAGAAGAGTGGGATGTAAGTCTCATTCCTGGATGTAATTAGGTGTCTGTGGCTCATGAGAAATCAGAGGCCATGAACAGAGGAGCCTGCTGAGTACAGGTGATGGGGGAATTGTTGGCAAGCAATGACCTGGGTAAGGGTGTAGGTACCCCATTATGGCCATTACACAATTCTTCCTTTTTTGCTGTTTCTCTTCTGCTTACAGACACCTTATTCTTTGCTATTCTCTCTTCTCAAATAGGTGAATATTACAGTTTGATAGGCTGGGTCAGCTAAAAGCTCTTCAGTGGTTGGTACTTGCAGCCACACAGATTCACTGTGTGGACTTAATTGTAGTAAGGACTGGCTTAAGAGCAGCAGATCAATGCCCTGGAGAGTTGTTAGGGTGAAATACAGAGATCTCATCTACAGATAAAAGGAAGAACATCACCAATAATGACAGAAAAGGCACTCATCAGCTATATTTTCACTCATTGTACTGCACCCAACAACAACAACAAAAAAAAAATTGGTGTATTCAGTTCCCCACTTTAGTAATTTTGCTTTTAACAATATCTGACTTTGTATTCAATCAGCAGCCCCTATTACATGAAGTATTTTTTCAGACACCCAGTGGTTTTGCCTGCATACACAGCCTT